AATGGCACTTAACAACAACATTATCATGGCTGCAGGAAGGTGGAGGGCCAAAGGTCACCTTGTGACTGGATATCAGTTGATCTCAGTAAAAAAGAGAGGGCAAGTTTTAATAACTCTTGTTAAGATTAGCCAATAGCTGATCTTCTCTTTTCCCTTTATAAACCTTATTGTAACTAGTCTATTTTGAGCCATTGTTGTTGGTTTTTGGAATTAGGATGGTATCCTTATATGCATGTAGAATAACTGCTTAGAATAAAACTTACACTTCAATTTCTTTATTTTTGCTTATTTTTCACACTATGTATGAAGTTCACCTGTATACAAATAATAAAAAGAAATAAAGAAAAATAAGATTTTGAGAAATAATTAAAAATAAAATCTGCTAATATAGACCAATCCTCTCCACAAATATAAAATTTTATGAAATAAACATTAATTCAGATTGCGATGCATATAACAGGCTATCTGTTAATGTGGCATCAGAACAATCCACTAAAGAGAGTGAAACACAGAAATAAATCTTAGTCTTCTATTTATCCATGCAAATACAATCTATTACACACATCCTGTTAATATAAATTATAGGAAAACTACAGGTGAACTTTGAACAACATGGGTTTGAACCATATAGATCCATTTATCTGCAATTTTTTTTTTTTTTCTGTTGCTATTGCAGTGAGTTCACACTTGAGCTCATTGCAAAAGCAAAAGGAAATTCAAAACTGTGTTGTTCAAGGGTCAACTATAGTCTTCCAAGTAAGAAGACTTGATAGTACTAGTTGCTACATAGGTTTTATTATAGATTTACCTAAGAATTGGGTTGTTCATTTGTGTTAGGAATTGCCTTTATTGCCTGATTTTCAAAAGTATATCTCCAGGTTTTTCATTCTAGTCCATCCAAAAGCTCCATGGGTCACAAAAGTATAATATTGTCTTATGTACTTTCTGGTGTGGCACCATAGGATAAGCACTTGAACTCATGATTAGTTTGGACTGCAAGGCTGGTGATTCAAACTCACCTGCTGCTCCTTGGAAGCCAGGGTTGTTATGACTTGGAATAAACTCTATGCCACGTAACAACAACAACTTTCTTTTTCATAAAATGGTTTTAACCACACCTGCCACAGTCTCAGTGCTGATTGTATCACTTTCTTAATTTTTTTCCAGGGCAGTTCCATGTGATAGGACCAAAAACATCAGTCACTGTCTTGGTAGGAGAAGAGGCTGTGTTCTCCTGTCATCTCAGTCCACCAGTAGATGCTCAGAAAATGGAAGTGAAATGGTATCGTGATCACCCTTCAAATATATTATATCATTATAAGAATTTCCAGCATCATATGGAGCAGCAGAGTCCAGAGTACCAAAGGAGGACAGAGTTGCTGGGAGAGAATATGAACAAAGGACAAGTGTCTGTGAGGATTCTACACATTCGTCCTTCAGATGAAGGGGTATACAAGTGTTTATTTATAAATTCCACATACTACAATGAAGCACAATTCCAAGTATGGGTCATAGGTGAGTCTCTGGAATAAAAACTTTTAGAAACGTTATACATTTTGTCTAAATTGTTAGATAGATATTGATGTATATGGACAGAGTTAGCTCAGTCTACAAAATATTACAATGGAATATCAAGAATATTTAAGAGGTGAAGTTTTCAATGTCTTCAGGTTGTAATAAAATATATATATTCACATTTTTTCTTTGTCAACATAATTGCTGAAGGGGAGGAAGGTCAGGGAGTCTATTATGTCTTATCTCTAAGGAGTCTCAGAAACTCATCTAATTAGTTCTGTCCATGTTTCAGAATCCAGAAGAAGCTAGGCAGAGGCAAGAAGAATCTGACTAGCTCACTATCAGTTTTACGCACTGTTTTTGCTTTATGCACTAGTGTTTCTGTTTGTTAAAAAATTAAGCACAAAGAAATTTAGTCATAAATTTCTATAGGTTTTAGTCAAGCAGTTAATTTTTATGTATACAGGGAACCCTTCTTGTTCAGAGAAGTGAAGGATTCCATTGTAGATCAGTTACAATGAGATTTTAAAAGAGAAATGGAGTTAATACAGAGTACAATATTAACTGGAGACCCTTTACAGGGTTGTTATAAGTCAGAAATGAATTGAAGGCACTTTAACAACAACAAAGTCCTGGTGTGATGCTGTAGGATAATTTGTGTTCTTCTTAAATTAATTTGAACAACAAGCTAGCAATCCAAACCCACCAGCTACTCCTCAGAAACTCTATATGGTGTCTGTGTCATAATGGATAGGAACTGACTCAACAGCACTTAACAACAACAACAACAACCTTAACATAATTAAATTAGTGTTTCTTTCCTTCTTGAATTTGCTAGAACGGATTTGTGACCTGGCAGAGACAGCTCATTTACTCAGAAAACACCATAGGATTAGAACTGTCTACAATAGCATTCAGGAGAAACCAATGCAATCCATTAGAAGGAGTTCAATAATATAGACCTTCCAAAAACTGAGGGGTATCCTGGTCTGTGTGCAAATATTCCGACCTCCCATTCAGTAACAATGAAAGTCAATAGGAAAGTCAATAGGAATGGGGAGAGTAGCCTTTGTCCATCACAGAGATTCTGGATATGCTCTAGGGTATCTTTTGGATTCACATTTACATAATAAAAAACAGGCACTTAG